CCCCGTTTGTTGGTTTGTCAGCAGGACGGACAGATCTCCAGCAAACCTCAAAGATGAAGTCGTTACACTTTCCAGATCAGATCAGGAGGCGGAGTCACATCAGATTTCCTTCTCCCGTTTTTTAAACCGTTTTCAGATGTGAACTCCAGGTAGAATCCAGAGACTCGTCTCCAGAGTTCATGTTTCACAGCTGAACAACTCAGCAGCAGGTTTTCTGCTCAGACTCGTTCAGCATCAGATCCTCCTCGACCTTCAGGTGAGAGGTGGAGCAGACAGACAGGAAGTGATCATGTGATCATGTTTACATCACCTGACACCGTCGTCAGCTCTTATCACCACAAACTGTCTTCACATCTTCATGTTTGTGTCACGTGTTAGAAGCTCATCACCCCCCCACTCACTCAATAACTCAGTGGAGGACGCTCTGCTGAGTCCTCACTTCTCCTGGATTTAGACTTTATACAGGAGTGAAGGAGGAGACAGACAAACTGAGTCTCACTCTGACATTTGAGTTCGTCCTCCAGAGAAGATCCAGAGACCTGAGTTCAGTCTGAAGCATCTTAACTTTAACAGAGACAAAACTTCTTGTAACACTTTTGTTGATATCTCAGAAAACAATTCATGGAAGATGAATAAAATGAGAAATATTTAGTGGACTGATTTTTTTAGGAGTTTGTGTGATTTGCTGCAGCTTGACTGAGTTTGAGGGACCATTAGGTCTTGGTGGAGGAATCAACTGGACGTGAGATGTTTGATAAACGTGAGCTGTATCTCTAACATCTTTCCTCTGCACCGAGGGAACGTCACGACGTGTTCACTCCATCCACCTGCTGCTGTGCTTTGTCTGAATGGATATCTTCAGCCTTGTTCACCTGACTGTCTGCAGCATGTAGCTTCATGTGTCTCTTCAGATGTCCTGTGACAGTGAAACATTTGCCGCAGACTGAGCAGCTGAAAGGTTTCTCTCCTGTGTGGATTCTCATGTGAATCTTCAGGCTTCCCTTTTGAGCGCAACTTTTACCGCAAACGTTGCAGCTGAACGGTTTCTCTCCTGTGTGAACTCTCATGTGTTTGGTCAGGTCTCCTTTTTCAGCACAGCACTTTCCGCAGAAGGGACAACTAAATGGTTTCTCTCCCGTGTGAACTCTCATGTGTTTCTTCAGGTCAGTTTTCTGAGCACAACCTTTACCACAGATGGAGCAATTGAACGGTTTCTCCCCTGTGTGATACTTCATATGTCTGTTGAGGTGTTCTTTCACATGAAAACTTTTGTTACACACCGAGCAGGTAAACGGTTTCTCTCCTGTGTGGATTCTCATGTGTCTGGTCATGTTTCCCCTTCCGCTAAAATTCTTCCCACAGAATAAGCAGCTGTACGGTTGCTCTCCTGTGTGGCACCTCATATGTGCCGTCAACGAGCCACTGTCCTTAAATGATTTGTCACAACCTGTGCAGGGAAACGGTCTCTCGCCCGTATGGTCTCTGATGTGTCTGTTCAAGTTTCCTTTAAGGCTGAATCTTTTACCGCAGTACGAGCAGGGGAAGGGTCTCTCCTTCACTGAAGTCCCTGTTTCAGGAGCTTCACAGTTTTTATCAACCTCGTTACCTGACTGATCTTCATTGGATTGTGTCCAATCACACTCACTTTCATCAGTTTCAGTAGAAACTAAAGAATTATCTTCACTAACAGGTTGTAAATGTCCATCAGGACCTGAGTTCCTGGCTGGTTCTGGTCCTCCACAGTCCGCTCTGTTGTCCTGACTCTGATGAAGCTGTAACAACATAGGTTTCTCTTCATCTTCTTCACTCTTCACAGCGACAGGAGTCAATGTGAACTTGATATCAGCCTCCTCCAGTCCTTGAGGCTGCTCTCCCTCCTGACTGGTCCACGGTTCTTCCTGTTCCTCTTTAATGTGGGGGGGCTCTGGGTCCTGCTGGTCCACATGGGGGCTCCACTGCTGCTGCTCAGGGGGAGCCTGTTCTTTACTCACCACCAGCTGCTGGACGTCTGCAGGACACACAAATACACATGTTTAAATGTCGACCACATTCAGGAAGCAGAGATGTTGACGTTGTTCACAGAGAAAAATATTTGAGAGTTTGTGTTTCACACCTGAACACAGAGACATTTACAGTGTAGAGTGTTCGAGTCCTAGAGAGGGGGTCAAAGTATTACAGTATGGTTCTCCTCCGCTTACACAGTAACAGTAACCCCATACCCATCAGTATCAGTAAGTGAAGTACATGTAGACAGTCTGTGGTACTGAGAGTACTTTGCTCCTATGGGTCAGTTGGGTTCTGTTGAAGCTCAAGCAGCTGACAAAGGTTCATCCTCTGAGGAGAATCTAGATCTTTCAGAAACTCCTCAGAGGATCTCAGAGGAAACTTAAACTTCCTTTATTGATCCCACAAGGGGAAATTCTTTTTACACTCATGTTTTTCATTTTTAATACATGCATTAACCCACAATCCCACACACACACACACAGGGCTCAAAGACATGCACATTTTGGAGAGAGATGGTAGAGTGATGGGCAGCCCCCAGGAAAAGCGCCCTATGAGCAATTGGGGGGTACGGTGCCTTGCTCAAGAGCACCTCAGCAGTGCCCAGGAGGTGAACTGACACCTCTCCAGCTACCAGTCCACCTTCCATGCTTATGGTCCATGCTGGACTTGAACCGGCCACCCTCCGGTTCCCAAGCCAAATCCAGATCCACAGCAGCTCCACGATAAGAACATGATGTCATGGTTCAAAGGAGGGGAGTGGTCAGTGGGCGGAGCTTTGTACTGTTTGATCTCTTATCTCCGACTTAACCTGGAGCCGGTCAGCTGATCAGCATGTTACCATGGTGATTTACCTGATAACAACGGAACGAGCTTCATGGGACTGAAAACTCTGAATTAAACCTGAAGTTAATTTGAATTAAACCTGAAGTTAATTTGAATTAAACCTGATAACCACAAATCCTGCTTCGTAGTTCAGATATTCCGTTTGATCAACTCATGTTAGCAGA